AATTACAATACTGGGTCTGGAGAGATGGCTCAGTGGTCACAAACAAGTACTGCTCTTTCAGAGGACCCATTTCTAGTCTCAGCATTCAAAGCAGGCAGTTCATGACTGAAAGGTCACAATACTCAAGAGTCTCTAAGAAGTAGAATATTGAAAAACAATAAAAATTTGGACCTTTCAAGGGGAACACAACAAAATACTGGCAAGCTACCGGAGGGAAAGTTTGAGTATATTTTCAACTAAAGTGGGTAATGGGTAAAATACTAAGGGACAGAAAGAGAAAACAACAACAACAAAAAATGTAAACGTTAGTTCTACTCTCATTTGTTTTGAATGCAGGGTCTTCTTGTATCCCATGATGGCCTCAGGAATTCACTGGGTTGCTGGATGACTCTGAACTTCTGATCCTCCTGTCTCCACTTCACAAATACTAAGATTACAGTTGTGCAGTACCACATGCATTTTTATGCCAGTGCTAGGGATCAAACTTAGGCTTTGGGCATGCTAGGTCAACACTTACCAAATGAGCTACATCCCTAGCTAGTAAAGTTCTGAATCTCTGTTCTATACCAAATTATCCACACAGGCTGTGCATTTTGCTAAGAAGTGTAAATATAATAAAAACCACAACATGATACAGCTCCATAAAGCACTTTTCTGACATGTGCAGGGTTCTCAATTCAATCCTCACTGAAACAAAACACAAATGCACATATAAACAAGAGTCAAGGATCAGGATGGAACACTACAGGGACCTCAGGATTATACCCAAATCAATCAGACAGAAGACACAAAAAATAGGATAGGACAAACTGGATATCAGAAGCTGTTTGTTGATACTAAGTCTAAGCTCCAGAAAAGGCATAAAACCCAATCCTTGCCTCCCTAAAGTATAGACAAGCCAGAATACCCAAAAAAGTCTGACAGAGCCCTCTCGGTATTCTGTTCCTAAAGACACTACATCTAATTGGAAAGCACTAAGTGTCTCAGGTCCAACAACCCCCTCCCCCCCAAAAAAAAACACAAAAAACAGGGCACACTAAAATCACAAATGGTCTTTTCTAGAGTCTGTTTTGACTATATACAAAAAGAAAACATGGGTTTAAAAAATTGGCCTGAAATTCTTGTGGAAGTTTATTTAGAGACTATGAAACACAACTTTTTTTCCCTTTTAAAAACAAATAGCTTATACATTAGACTTAACTATGAGACATTATAAAACTCTCGCAAAAGAATATAATATCTGGGCTGGGCGGTGGTGGCGCATGCCTTTAATCCCAGCACCCGGGTGGCAGAGACAGGAGGATCTCTGTGAGTTTGAGGCCAGCCTGGTCTACAAGAGCTAGCTAGTTCCAGGGCAGGCTCCAAAGCTAGAGAAACCCTGTCTCAAAAAAACAAAAACAGAATATAATATCTGTACAACAAACTAATGGGGAGGATTGAGGATGATTCATTTTAATAAAGTCAGAACTAGAAAATTCTGATGAGTCAAGACATACAATTTTGTTTCTTCCATCTTCAGCTGATCATGTAATAGCTTATTATTAGTAACTTCTACTAAGAAAATCAACAGGATAAGTCCTTTGGTAAATGACAGTCTTATAGAATGATTTGAATTAATATGATCATTACATGATTTACATGCGAATTGTTTGTAAGCCTGATACTAATCCTGATGTGCAAATAGGAAATACATTTTTAATGACTTGGTCTCAGTTTGTGTGTAGCCTGTAGAAAATGCACAGGAGCCTTTTAATAACTACAAACATGAAATGCATCTGCTACCAATTTAGTTTTCTAAATTATTATTCCTGTTTTTTCTATAGTCAAAGAAAATGGGCTTTTCCCCTGTAACTCTGATTGCCAACTCAATAAGTTGACCAGGCTATCCTCAAACTTCTTGTTTCTGTCTCCCAAGCATTAGGATACAGACATTTGCTACTGCCTGGCAGTACCAAGTTTTTAGTGTGTGTGTGTGTGTGTGTGTGTGTGTGTGTGTGTGTGTGTGTGTGTGTGTGTGTGTATACGTGTGCTAGGGATTAAACCTGGGCAAGCATTCATAGAATTATATACTAGCCCTTAAAAATTATTAATAATTTAGATAAATTGTTAGTCTAGTCTAAATACTCATCAGGTTATTAAGTTTCTTAGTAAGAAGTTGGTATTGCATAAGCATGGTAGCAGCTACTTGTAATAGTTGGTGGATAGAGGCAGGAGGATCAGGAGCTCAAAGCCAGCCTTAATTAACTACATAGTGAGTTCAAGGCCAGCCAGAGCTAAATGAGGCTGCCACAAAAAAGCAATGAAATAAAAAAATTACTGCAGAATCAGATGTGGTGTGGGTGTAGAGGAACCACACTGACAATACCAGGTATAAAAAATAAGCTCTTTCTAAGCTTTTTCTTCAGCTGTATTATGGTCTATTAGTGGATCAAGTTCAAGCTGAAAATAGCATCCCAAACATGTATGTATTCAACACCTGCATTTAAGTTCCACTGCAAACAACCTGGAGTGAGCGTACAGCAAATTCACCAAAACCTTCGCACACAGGTGCCGTTTCAGTTCAGAAGCATCTAACCCACACTGCAGGTGTTTGCCTCAAATCTCAGCACTTATGAACTAGTCAGAATCAAGTTAAAGATTGTTAACTGAATTTTCTGGCCTTGCTTCCTTACAGAGCCTTATTTCTCCATTCAAATTTCAATATAAAACTTTAATACCCAAATAGTCATGCTATGTTCACTCAAGCATAAACACACCTAGCTTCTCCCTCTATACATTTACAAGAAAGTCTACCAGCTTCATAGATTACATGATTAAATCTCCCCCATGATTATGGATATATCTCAAGAACTGTACTAGAACGTTTAGTCACTACATTTGTATTTGCTAACAGAAGTGGAAACAGTTAAACTGCCACTGTTTCACATTCCATAAAGCAGCTCAGTCAATCAAATCTCTAAAAATACTTTAAAATTTTCCAACAGATAAAGATTGAATCTTGGGACATACTGATGTTTCCATGCAGGAAAAATTCATGTTGAGACATACAAACTTCACAGGAAAATTATGTTTTTCCATAAGTTATTGTTTTTATGTTCATTTTCTTATCTGCATTCTGACTTGTTTCTACCCCAACTTCACAATTAGTTTAGATTTTACTCAAGAATATAGATTATAACCTAAATATTAGTGATTTTCCAGCTCTGTTCTTAATCCAAACTCACTGAACTGAAAAACTGTTTTGCAGAGCTACATTTACACTTGGCTGATTATTTTGCCATGTTATAAGACACACTGTTTCCATGTAACACTACCTGAGCCTGGGATTACCCTGCAATAACTGGCCTCTCAGCACTGCATTATGGTTTAACTGGCCTCCCTTTTTTTCTGCATATATAAGGTACTGTTACACCGTCTTAGAAAGTACAGGTAATTAAAGGGCATAGTTCAAATTTTCTATTTCAAAGTCAACAATTTCCCTGTCTTCCCAGCCACTGTCCCAACATGAATATATGTCTGAAATGTTTAATTAGAAAGACTATCCAAACACAGGTCAATTTTATATAAAATATTTAATTTTTAAAACACAGGCTAGTCATGTCACATAAATAGTTCCACTTTAGGTTAGCTGCTTGTGGCCAGCAGAAGTGTCATGTGTGACGAATAAGAATAATTTAGATACTGTCCCTTATAGTAAAGTCTGAAGTGCTAAGACTCACCATATTGAAATGTCAGAGACTTGAATACTCTATTTTGCTAAATTTCAAAACATTTCTTTACTTCCTCTAATGTTTTATTAGTTAGTACTCAATACTCAAATAAAAGCAAAACCTTTTTTCTTCCATTAATTTTGTTATACCAAAAAAATACCATCAAAAGTAACGGTCAAATGAAAACTCATGTTATAGGCATAAAGTGAAAATTACCTTCTTTAAAATACTCTTACTGGTTCCTGAATCATGTTTTGAAATGCAAGGTCACAAATAGATACAGGGCATGAGGTTAAACTGGCTTATCATACAGTTTTCTCTATTTAAGATTCCAATTAAAAAGTTACTAGAACAGTTAAAATTGTCAACTGGCACACTCAACTTCCCAGAGTTTCTAAGTCTACTAGTGGTAAGGGAGACGCTGGTTATTTACCTTTGGTTCCTTTCTAGAAATATAATTTTGTGTTCATGTGTGAATGTAAAGCATAGTGAGACTTGACAACATGACAGTTATTCTTTCTTGGTTGAGTTTAATAGAAGAAAAAACATTAAAACAACCTAGTAGCACTGCTCTAATCTGGCAGAAGTTACAGTAAATTTCACAAAATTCTCTGAGTTTTCTTTTTGCTTTACTAAATTAAATCTAGGACATATTTCTACTTAAGTTGACTTTTAAAAATAATGACATAACTTAAGATATGGTGTTTACCACCCTCCTTCTGTGAACTTTAATACATTTATTATGCGAATCATTATTACATACTTGCTTCAAAAATCCTGTCCTCCAAGTAGAAACTGGGTAGCATGGCAGCCAGAAAGAAGAGAGTACTCTAAAATTCAGTCAGCTATTACTTTCAAACACTTAAGTGATATTTTTTTTAGTACTTCCCAGAAGTAACAGAAGGTACTGCGTTCTCCCTTTCTTTTCTCTTATACCCCTACCAAGAGAAGGTAACAGTGAAAGTTAACACAGGCAAAAGACAGGCAGAAAAGGACAGTGTGACAGGCAGAGGGAATGGACTTAACAGAACTGGCCAGGCAACTCCTAAAAACTGAGAGTTTCCTGCCTCTTCAACACAATGCAGACTCCCTTAAAAGACAAGTGGGTGTACAGGCTAACTTCATCCTCAGTCCTTAAGCTTACCAGTTAAGGCACTTACTCAACCCCTCCCACCCTGCCCATAGTTTTCATATAAAACCCACTATTTCATTTGAATGAATTTTGCTGGGTTATGGTAACCTGAAAAACAAAAAAATAATGTTGACCATTTTTTATATAAAACTGTTGCATCAAGAGAAAGGTTGTGTTTTATTTTCTGAAATGAGCACAAAGTACACCTTTCACAATAACACTGAAAGCAGGTGCAAAGACTGACAGTGACCTTTGACTAAAGGTAGCTTTGTAAAAAGAAAATACCAAATAAATCAGTGCCCTTTCTGATTGTTGTAAAACTGGAAGGGTGAGGGAAAGGGTTGGTTGTTACATAAAAGTTGGTCCAAACTTACAAAAAAAAGCACAAGTGTGCATAGTTCAGAAGATCTGCAACAGGGCCATAAAAACATTATGTCCCTAATGTTAGCATCCACTTAAAACTGCAAGAATACAAAATAAAACTGTTAACTAAAATCTGTGACGATGTACAATCAATAGAGCTAGTTTTAAGAACAGCATGAAATTAAGCGAAGGTTTTTTTTTGTTTTTGTTTTTCACTATTGTATGCAAGACCCTTTTCCACATAAAAATAAAGCTGTTGTTGAATTAATATTATTCAAGTCTCTTGGATTGCTGCCTGAAATTGCAGCTAGAAAAGTCTTTCCAGATAAAAATGATGTGCCTGAGGAAAAACAAGATACTCAGTATGGTAACCCTCTGCCTCGACCTCTGCCAGCTGATGTGCTAATGTGTCCTCTGTATCCTTGTGAGTATCCAGGTCCTTGGGCAGGAGAAGTCCAGGTCTGCCCATGCATGAGGCTAGGGCCACCTGGATTTTCCTGTAAGTTACCACCATAGTTATAGTTGTGCATCTTTGCTGGCAAGGGATGAGTACTCTCTGGCCCTGTGGAAGGGTCGTTGCTGTTTGTGAGGACTGCGATAGGACCATGGCTATATTCAAATCTATGGTCCTTGTCTCCACTAAACAACATGGGACCAGCATTGAGGTAAATGTCTCCATATCCAGCTACTGAACTGGGAAATGACTCGGAAAAGGCAGAAGCTTGAGGTGGGCCACCAGTGTGAGATGAAGCAGTACTGTAGTTCTCCAAAGACTGAATATCTGAGTTTCCAATGAAACTACGTGGTTCCAACGGTGCAGCAGCAGAGCTACTTCCTAGACCATCACTGCTAACATACGGAGCGGCAGAGAAAGCAGATCCAAAGTTGTCCTTATAGTCTGAAGTGGGCACATATGTGTCTCCTGTGGGATAATCAATACCACCTTCTCTTTTGGGATCCTCCTGGGGCTGATGCTGAGCAAGCAGCTGTAAGAGGGCTGCCTTCACTCCAGCATGAGGGTCGGTTAGTGAAGAACTAGTGGTGGGTACATGCTGGTTTTCTGTCCGATAATCCAGGTCCTCATCAGTGACTGGTGGTGGTTCAGGAGGTTCAGGAGGTCGTTGATCAGGCGGCAGAATCCGAGGCCGGTCTGGTTCTGGTGTCAACTCCATTATCCTCCTGTCCTGGTGCTGGATGAGGTCATCTTGCCCTAAGTGAAACAAAAGCAAGTGTCAAAAGCTACTATAGAAAATGAAATACTCAAAACGAGTGGTGCCAAGAATGATCAAACATTCAATGTCTAACGAATGTCAAATGCAAAAGGAGGTCTCATAAGTACCCATATTGCCCACCACCACTTAAACAAAAGGTCATTAAAGAAATAGACTATTCAAAGGTACTCTCTATGTTCACATTTAAACCTTGGGGAGTAGGTTACTACTCACAATATTTATCCTTTTGTGTTCAGAACAACAGGTTATTGTAAATATTTCTTAGAAAAAAATACAGTCTTCATAATGAATAATATGATAAATGGACAATTTGCTAACAATATATTCCAGGAAGTAAACTGAGTAGGTCACTATCACCAGTGACCTGAGAATGTCTTTACAAATGTCACCGAACAGTGAACACCTTAGATAGCAACAACTACTGGCCAACCACTCACCAGATCCCGGAGTGCTGGGTTCTGGAGGTGGCCTGAGTTGTAAAGTAGCTTCATGTCCAGATCCATTTTCCCTCTCTTCTAGAATGACATCTTTCTGCTTTGACTGTTGAGCCTTTATTAACTGAGTCAAGAGAACTGCAAATGCACTCTGCACAGCAGCCTGGGCAGCATCAGTTTCCACTTTAGGCTGGATGGTCTGTGAAGGCTGAATTCCTCCCAATGATTTTGAAGACTCCTGTTGTGGTGTTGATGGATCTGTCTGTTTTTCACCTGTTGCCAAAATTCCAGCAGGAAGGTTTATTTTATTTAGCTGCTGTTGAGTCTCAGAGTTTACCTTAATGTTCAACACTTGGACAAAATCAGCCATATTAACACTTGATTTAGATTGTAGTAGGTTTAGAAGAATTGCCAATTCATTGTGGTTTAACGGCTGTCCGGGGCCTGTTATTACTAAAGACAAAATGTATTAATTAGAACTGCCATAATTCATAGATTTTCCATCCCCCAAAATGTCTTCATTACACATCATTTAAATTACATTTGAGGAAGGGCGTTCAGCAACAATGTAAAAAGAGCACTTCACTTTATTCATCATGACGTTCAAAATCTAACTACAACATAAATTAAAACTACATTCTATTTTGGGTAATCATCATTAGGAGTATATATTTCAAAAGAGAAACCAAGACCACCAGACGACCGTATGTGCAGATCTGAACCATCAGCAGTGAGGACAGCTGTCAGCAGTGTCAGGTACTTTCTGAGCACTTTGTAGTCATCATCCCTCCCAACTACTCTATGAGGTGACATCTATTATCACTCTAAAAGAGTGCATAACTTGTCAAAGGTCCTGGATTATGAAATCCTTATCAGGCTATACTGCTCTCAAAAGTGAAGTTAACTTAGAAATTAAAACTAGAATATTTTGTAGAAAATGAGGAAAATCTCTGTATTTTTATTCAAATTACTTTTTAAAAAAGTTAGGTCATTCTGAGATAGAAAGGCCTACACAAACACGCATATTGCGTATTAACTCATTACCAGTAAGACACATCTAGTTTTTTTTCTTTGTCCAATATTCAGTCTAGAACAGGCAGATTCCTGGGTTCTTGAGGGAAACTAAGATTTCATTTTATAAAAGCTGTCAACTAGATGGTGGCACACATCTTTAATCCCAGCCCGTGGGAAGCAGACATGGGTGAAACTTTGTGAGTCTGAGGTCAACCTGGTTACAAAGAAAGTTACATGACATCCAAGGCTACACAATGAAACCCTACCAATAAATAGATAAATATGTATGAATGAAATAGCTGGGTATAAAGTATTCTTTTAAATAGCAGGTTCCAATTTTTTAAAATATAGCTTCTTTAGTAAGGATGATGTAAAGATGTTGGATCAATGGGCTAAAGAACTTCTACTGCTGTTTTGGCTGTCTTCCTAAGTTTTCCATGCCTTAAGCAGCCATAGACATTAAATACTGAACTTCACAGACTAGTGTTAATGAAAGGCATATCGACTCCTGAACTAGGGAAACAAGGAAAAAGAAATCTGACCAATCATGACAAATACATGATGAGATTGCTTAACACTATAGTGTGAGCAGCAATGAGACCTTTGTGCTGGCACAAACAATAAAGGAATGCCAAGCTCACCAAAGCTTCAGCGTTCACCTTTTTGCCATAATGTTTAAGCAGAACAAACACATTCAACACAGGTCATGAAGCAGTATGAACAAAACAAGCCACAGAAACATTACTGACCAGGTGCTACACTTGAGTTGCTTTGAGATTTCAATTGTGCAGGAGGCAGCACACCCTGGGGTGTATTAGTTCTACTGTCATCTAAGCCCAGGGACAGGTCCTTTCTGGGGGCTTTGATTGCGGAAAGATCATCAGTCATGCCCATCTGTTTCTGTCTTCTTCGCTTTTTACTCCATAATTCATGACAATCTTGCCACAAAGGAAGGCTGAAAAACATAGATGAATACTAAATCACAAATGCCATAACAAGAAATACTAATGTTACAATGTACCACTAAAGCTATTCCCTTCCTGCAAACCATTCTGGAAGACTTCATACACACACACACACACACACACACACATACATACATACATACATATATACGTAGATACATACGAAGATAAACATACATACATACATTAGTAAAATTCCATCATACTTCAGGGTTTTAACTTTAGCAATGGACTATTTTTCTTTTTAATTATTTGTCCTAATTTTTATTGTTTAAAAATTTTATTCATGCATATAATGTCTGTTAAGTACATCCCACATGCCCTCCCCTCAAGTTTCTTCCCTATCTCCTCTAAACCTCTATTATCTCTCTTAAAACTCACTAAATCTACTTGGTGCTACCAGGAAGTCCATGGATAAAGGACTACCTGCTAGAACAGGAGTGAACTCTACCGAGGCCACAGCCCTGAAGAAAAAGGTGACTCTCCCTTTCGCAGCAGCGATTAATTGCCATTATCTCCTCAGCTGAGAGTGGCTTTCATGACCCACTCTCTCCCACCAACTAGGATTCTGTCTGACTTGATCCCATGTGGGCCTAATGCATACAGTCACAGCTGCTGTGCATTCACACATATGTTGTAGGGATGACCTACTTTTGTCTTCTGAATAATCAATAAGTAATTGTTCATCAAAATTATGAAGAATACATATTAGTTAAAATCTGGCTATTATCCTTCATACAACCTTTTATGACCAGTTCTTATAGCACACTGTACACTGAACAGGATTTGAAAAAGGATGAAGAAACACACTATTTGTAGAAGCCAGACATAAATAAAGAAGAGTAAAAGCTAGAACAAAGACTTGTACAAAACTTTAGTAAAACTTTTTCACTTTTTAGTTACATATTTACTACTATTACCAATTGCTTTGAAAATAAACTGATTCTAAAGATGAGTCTCAAGAATAGGTAATCCAGACACAGAGAGGCTCATTACTCATCAACAGAATTCTGTGTGATTAGTAACTACCAAAATTACCTCTAATTCTAGAATAATTTTTCATTTTAATATAATTCTGTAACACTGAACACTAGTAAATAACTTTTCTTAAAGAAAGACAAATACTTGATTTACAAATATTTTCTTTTTGTCCCAGTTACAAAGCCCATGGAAACTTACTATTACTTGTCTCTAGCTTAAAGGTGAGAAATTAAGGCTTGGAAAGGTTAATAAACTTGCCCAGAATATCTAGATTCTTTTAAGCAATGCCATCTAGTGGTATACACCTGCTCTTCTCAACTTGATGTTTACCAAGAGGTATACAATGTCTTTCCAAGAGTGTACCTGACTGAGGTTGTTTAAAGGGACTTCATTTCCACATGGACTCTTTTCAAAGACTGAGCTAGAAGAATGTCCTGGATGTTCAAGTAAACTCTTCCACAATTACTTTCTCATATTATAAAGGCATATGCAACAGAATGGTTGAATCTTAGCAATATAATATTAATAAAAAAATGTCATTTTCACAGGATTACAAAACAGCATGATACCTTTGTATAAAATGAAAAACAACTACATTTTTTAAATGTAATTTTTTATGAGTACATACAGATGGCAACAGAAAATATATACAAGAATAAGGAAACAGGAATGATGGTTACCTCAGGAGGAAGAGGGCAACGGAACACGTAGGTAGGAGGAGGGATTATGATATGATTAAAGTGGGTTATTTTCAAGGTTCTAGCTTTTGCTTGGTAGGCTCATGGCTGCTTATTAACATTTAAAAAACTAATTAAAGTAACTAAAAAAAATAAAAGAGCCATGCATGGACCAATGATGAGTGACACAAGGATCATGATTAAACCAAGTCTGTGCACCTGAGGTCTGAAAACAAAACGAAGGCATACCTCTCAGCCATCTTACTATGGTGCATTGCCTCAGCGTGCAAAAACCTCCTGGATAACAAACAAAGGGACAATTGGAAAGGTTGACACTGGGAAGCTTTAAGGCATCAAAAACCCTCTAAAAGACTTTCCTTTCTGGGACTGTGTGTTTTATGATGTGTGCTTTAGCCTCTGTTGGGATGTTGATTTCAAATATACTGTAGTACTACAGATTAGGGTAAACAAAATCATTCATTACACCTCCTCCATTATGACAGCCAAGAAATACAATACTCTTGTGGTAAAGCAAAGAAATCCAGGAAAAGGATTTGTTCCCTCCCATAATTTAAAGAGATTCATTATGAATGAATTACCTTAACACTCATCTCTACAAAATATAAACATAAGCTTACAATAATCTAATTAATGACACTGATTCTCCAAACAAATCAGACATGGTCTCCAGATATTCAAGATGTGCTTCCTTGAAGGTTCAAATGCTGGCTCAGTCACTTAATTTGTTATCTTGTCAGACAAGTTACTGGACCTCTGTATCACAGTTTTTCTTTAAAAATGGGGTTAACAGTTATTACCTATTTCCTGGGGACAGACATAATATGTTAATGTCTATCAAGGGCATAGCACTGTATTTGTGATTGTTATCACTGACTGATCATCGTTCAGTTGTCTAAAAGTAGTTTATCAAGACATATCACAAAATATTTAATTATAGATGACCATATTATTGTGCAAGTGTTTAATGGTTTTAATATTGTTAACAAGGCATAGGCTAGTGGCCATCTAAATCACTTTTTAGTCACACAGTCATAGAATACTATTTTTTTTGTTTTGTTTCTTGACAGGGTTTCTCTGTGTAATAGCTCTACCTGCTTTGTAGACCAGGCTAGCCTCAAACTCACAGCAATCCACCTGCCTCTGCCTCCCAAGTGCTGGGGTTAAACTGCCCAACATATAAACTTTTTAAAGTTACAAAGACATCAGAAAAGTTGATAAAGTATCCACTACACACTAGTGGAATTATTTCTGATTTAATACTTTTACTCATTTGTTTTTTCTAAAAAATAATCAAAATATTTTTCAACAATTTGGTTATTTTAAAAATGTATCAAAAATGTTACCTATATACTTATTTTTCAAAGGAATACCACTGCTATTACATAGTTTTCTTATAAAGTAGAGGGTATTACATGTGGTTTAGAGAACTTTTTATTTAAATACAGCATCAACGCAATTAAAACCTTGGCCTGGCTGCTTCAGTGATGGATCTAAAGTGCACACACACCATACTTTCACAGAATAGCAATCAAGTATACTGTTATTTACTTTTTAATAGAAAAGCACAGTGAAGCATATTCTGATGAAAATTAAATTTGAGTTACTGGGTCTTGTTTAACAAGAATTATGGTTTGTAACAAAAACAAAACAAAACACGCACAAATATATGAAGGCATAGAACAAAAACTGGTAGAGCCAGTAAAAAAATTGATGAATATCTAAATGAGCTTTCAGGTCACATGATGTCCTTACTGTCAGGAGATCTGTAAGGGAAAGACTTTTCAAATGATCTTATTCTTTTATCTTTTAATTTGTGTGTGTTTGTCTGTAAATAAATATGTGCAACATATGTGTACTTGGTGTCCACAAAAGTCAGAAGAGGGCACTTTATCCCCCGGAACTGGAGTTTTATACAGTAGTGAAATCACCATTTGGGTGCTGGAAACCAAACCAAGGTCCTCTGCAGTGAATGATCTTAACCACCGAGCAATCACTCCAGTTCCTGATCTCGTTTTCTTTTCTTTTTTTAAATAAAAGACTTTTTGTTTGTTTGGGTTGTTTGTTGTTGATACCTATTTGTTTTGTTTTTGAGACAGGGTTTCTCTGTGCAACCACCCTGGCTGTCCTGCTGGCTCTGTAGACCAGGTTGGCCTTGGCCTTGAACTCACAGAGATCCAAGTGCTTCTGCCTCCTGAGTGCTGGGATTAAAGCATGCACCACAACTGCCGGAAATAAAAAAGCTTTTGATACTTATTGTAGGAGGAGTTTAAAGACAGTGCTATTGTTATGCACAACTCCATTCAGTGACTGTTTATTTGCAAGGGCATTTTTGAAAATAAAAAGCAATATATAATTAATGTGGAACCATGCCTCAATCTACAGTAAATAGCACTGCTTCAGAGGTATGTAAATTACTACATGAATTACTTAGAGGAAAAGATCTCAGCTTGATCACTTCTAATAGACTGCATAGCTAACAGAATTCACCGATGGTTTTAAAACACCGAAATGTTTACTACTAATACAACACAAAATTATCATACTAACATCCATACATGGTACAGTATAAGAAATGTTTTAAAATTAAAATCCATTGGTAGATATAGCCTGTTTTAATAAAGTACAATACCATGATTAATATAATACTAGTTACATTAGAATAAAAATGTAAGAAATGGAAGTTCAAGATCAAAACAGAAAAATGTCCGAATGTTGAAGATTTTCTAAGCTACTATACATACAACTTGAAAGGCCTCAATATATAGACCCCGGTGGATACATATACAAGATTAATGTAACTGCAATACTTAAAACCGTTAATTAAAAATTCACCATTACATCTTTTGCAACTTGTAAATGTGGTTTCAGAAATTAATAAGCTTGATATAGTTTTATGAGAATCCTTTCATGTAGACTATGTTATTAGAATTGCACTACCAATAACAGGACAAAATCATATTCTTGTTGAAGAACTCTACCAAGAAACACACATTACCTTGTAGGTATTATTCTGGTACTTAAAAATACTAATCTAATCATGATTACAGAAAAGCAATCAAAATAAGATTTGGGGATATTGGCTCTTATTAGGACTGAAGATGCAGTTTAGTGGCAGCACTTGCCTGGAATGTGAGGCCCTGGGTTTGATGTCCACTAAAAAAAGAAGTCAGTGTCATCAAAACACTCTAAGGGTGACAAAAAAGTGAAGAGATAGTGATAGTGAGTTCTGAACAAATGGTTCAAACGTGACTCCACAGGAAGTGTGTAAAAAAAGTTATTGGACTATTGGAGAGACTTTAATAAGCACTATTATTAATTTTTATGCTTTATAATACGATATATAGTGAAGTTCTAGTTGCTATAGATTCATGCAACAACTTAATATTCAACTACTTCAGAAAAAGCTTATAAAGTAACAAAGCAAATGTGTTCACATGTCAATCATTACTGAATATATAAAGAATATATGAATGCTCATTTTTCTATTCTATCTTTCTGTAGAGATGAAAACGCAAAATCAAAAGTTAAAAAGAAAAAAAAGTCACTCTGATAGGTGACTATAGTCAAGTCACTTGGAAACTACTGATATATTCTAAATAAGCAAAAGAACAACAAATACTAAACACATAGTTCAATGGTGTCTGATTCAAGTATGGTGGTGCAAACCTATCATTCCAGCACTCAAGAGGCATACACAAGAGGATATTGAGTTCAGGTCAGCCTGTACTAAACTCTGAGTGTAGTAAACCAAACTCTGAGACAAAAGAAAAGAAAAAGTAAAAAATAAAAACAGAAAACTTAGTGAATGACTCAGTCGTTCTGTATGTTAGATGACAGTTACTCTTTAACTTTCAAAATATCCCATGGGCCATTTATATATAGTTCAATATAATCTTAATGGAGTTTATCATGACAAGCCCTGTGAAAATAAACTCCATGTAACTGGTAAGTGGAAGAGCCAGAATTTGAACTCTAAAGCTCATTCTTATTCATTAAAAATATGTGCATTTTATTATACAAAAATATTTTATTGGAGACAGGCTTGCTTTGTAATGCTGTAATGATCATGTTAACAGTTACCAAGGAAATACCTACAAAACTTTAGACCCTATCATGGAGAGGTAAATGGACTGCCTTCTTCCCAACCAACCCTAGACAAATTACAGAAGCTGTAAGAAGATTCAAGAAAGCAGCTACCCCGATTCCGCAAACTATGCATTTTCTTTCTATGATCTTACTCATTGCAAACATTCTTCTAGGTAATGTTAAGGATTTTCTATTGTACAGGATATGTTACAGAGTATTTTCAGATCTTATTTCTTAAAAAACTGACTTCAGTTTGAGAGCTGGCACCACCCTTTACCATATTTGTATTCTTGGGCAAGTTTTTTAACCTCTTTGAGCCTGCTTCCTCCTCTGTTAAGCAGTGGTAATAATAATAGTAATAATAATAATACCTACCTTAGAGGGTTGTAAAAATTAAGCTTAGCATGGCACTTAAAAGCTTCCACTAAAGCAGGACCACTAGAGACCAAGGTCCTGATGGATGGACTCTACCACATTGAGGGGTTCTTATTCTTAGAGGTGAAACATAACACTATCCTATAGCAGCTAAAGAAATGCTAAGGGCTGTTTCTGCTATTCTATTGTAAACTCAATAAACAAGCACCTGCATTCTTGATGTGCAAATACTTTTCTCCTGTTTTATCTAACTCAACTTAGTCACGGAATATCTTCTGCTCATGACAACTAATTAGCAAAGTTTTCAAAGCTGTTCAGATTCTGCAAAAATAAAATCTAAAACAAAAGAACATCACTTACTCCGGCGGAGGCATTTTGGAGGGTTCCACATCTCGTAGAAACTCACACTGAAGAGCCTGCTCAGCAGTGCACCGCTTACTGGGATCCAAGGCAAGCATGTAATCAAATAAGTCGAGCGCAGCTGCGGGGATACTAGCACCAGAGGACACAAAAGTCAAGCACCGTCTTCACACAAGCTCTATACTTCTGTGAGCACTTATTTTAAAGAAATGTATTTGGCATCAAATTTGAAAATTGTATTTTAAATACCAACTTCTTACTCCCATTACCTGTATCTTTAAAATCCTCATTACTTTGTTATTAACTAATAAATTCATGCAGGTGATAAATATCTAAAAGCTAATGTAATAATCAGTTGAAATATTAGAACTATCAATTTTCTTTGCAAGAACTATTGTTATTTTTGGACTGTTTAGCAAACAGCATCTTTTATTACTCTATGAGCAATCCACTGTCATAAATTAAAAACTGAATAGTCTCCTAAAATGAAAACCTAAACTCAAGACTCTTAAAAAAATTCACAACATAATTATTAAGTTTTTTCATGTAAATAAATACAGCGTGCCGGCCCAGTTACCGACTCTGAGGTGAAGACCTCTCTATGCAGCAAAGGGAAATGGGCAACACAAAGCCCTAGAAGCAGAGCTGCAATTTGTCTGTTTGGGTCACTATGACAGTTAGAATTCTTAAGAAACGACTCTCTGAATTGTGTGTGCTATGGTACACCCATATTCTCAGCACCTAACAGTCAAGATCAAGAAAGAGTTCAAGGTCAACCTTAGCTACATAGAGACTACAAGGGCATCTTGTAAAACTTTGCTTCAAATAGCAACAAAAGACAAAAAACAAACAAAACAAAAAACCTTAAACCTCAAAGTGACTTCAAAATAAACAATCAATCAATCAATGCAATATGGATATTTAAGCATCCCTTTCTTACAAAACAAATTCTTCTCTTAACTTTCGCCGATATTGCTTCTTTGGTTTCATGGTGTTGAAATATGGCAGTTTGATTACATCAGGCCACACTGCAGGACAAGGACTCCCACATATACGGCTAAACAATACAAAAAAAAAAAAAAAAAAAGAAAGAAATTTTATAATTACAAACTACACACAAAAACCAATAAATACCACCAGTATTTAAAAGAAAATCAAGTAGTTGTTAAGAATACAAAAGACCTTCATATAATGTATAAGAAGTTTAAATACTTTAATCTTTACAATTAACTTGAAAATCCCCAAATCTTCCACAAATACATTTAATCTAGTAAAGAACCTTCCTATTAAATAAAATCTTACAACACAGGTGATGTTTAGAATATACTGCCTATGTGTTATAAATTAAAGAAATGAAATTAGTGTATGTCTCACTCTGGTTTGGGAGTGTTGGCATGGTCTCCTCTCATAAACATAAGGTAGCCTGGTATTAACAGCAGAAATGAACTTCCTAAGTAACGACCTCTAGATGCAAACAAGAGCACCCTGAAGGCAGTAGACTTGAAGTACACAGTTCTGCAGTTTTAGCAGTGCCACTGGTCACGAGCATGTATGTGTTTTAGTTGATCTACTCTTTGATGACCTTGAAATTCCTCAATAGTTTGGTATAAACACAGGTAATAACACTGGGAAAATAGGCATTAGTATATAAAAAAAAATCACAAGATTATATGGATATCATTAGTAAAACTGTCAGTAAGGCTTAACATGTTAAGAAAAACAGGGCACAGGCTCATTCATATGATGCTCATCCTCTCTCAGACTGCTCCTTCATTTCTGCTAGATTCTAAGCAGCTGTACCCTCATCAGTCTACTAAACAAGGTCTTGTCTTCCCAAGACTATGCAGAATGGACGTTCCTTCACATGCTACCTGTTTCTTTAGCATTTGTGTCATGTGTTCTGACTACATGGCTAGATGGTTCTCTTGGTTCCTAGCACATTAATAATATAGAGTATACTGAAATAGAGAGATGAAGAGCACTTTCAACTTCTGATACTAAAGAAAATTTAAGTGAGAGAAAAGATGAAGATTTTTGGCTATAGTTCTAAATATAAATCACAGCCAGGTGAGAGGGAGTAAGAGAAATATGTTACAGGCAGAGAAAAAAAACATGTGCCTATTAACACTCACACAAATACAAGCTAAAGAGTTTCAAATGTTTTCTTATATGCACTGTTGAAAAGTAAGTACTAAAGTTATCAAGAGCAGCAAATAAGACCCCAAAATTCTTGATATTCTAAACTTAAAAGCTTTAAATTTCATTTCCATCATGGCAATAATCTATTTCCCTCAGTTTTAAGGTTTTTTTTCCCCTATAAGACCTTGTGTTTCCTATTGACAGCTTTCTTCCCCACCCCCTCCATCCGAGACAAGGTTTCTTTGTAGCTTTGGAGACTATCCTGGAACTCGCTCTGTAGATCAGGCTGGTCTCAAACTCACAGAGATCCGCCTGCCTCTGCATCCTGAGTACTGGGATTAAAGATGGGCGCTTGGTCTTTTTTTTTTTTTATTTTTTGATTGTTTTTAGCCCATTGTATTTTCTAAGCAGTTAATCTGGAAATATATAGGAAAGGGTCAAAATTGAAGCTTTACAGATTTACAAAACACACACAGCTACCAATTCTCAAACAGTGTTAAAATGAGGATGATGGCACATTATAAGGCAATTTTGATCTCTAGTTTTAACAGAAATGCTTTCAATTTAATCTGTTGGAAAGCTGGTAAATTTTGGTTTGAGAAATACAGAATACACATTGAAATATATTGACAAACATAGATAAAAGTTCCCACATAGCTACTATTAAGAACCTTTTCATAGAGTTAACTGTGAGGGTACGCACTCCTTAATCTTGGCACTTGAAAGTCAGAGACAGTAGATCTGATCTCTGAGTTCAGACAGACTGGTCTACTTAAACTCTAGGCCAGGCAATGATGAAAAGTAAGTCCCCACCCCATGTATGTGTACTACAAATATAAATTTGGGGATTCCTCTCCCTTGGACTCCAAGGTACTCTCAGTATGTAGCTATGATATACAAATATGCCATCACCAAACATTGTGCACGCTGGGCATAGTTGTCACATGCCTATAATCCCAACATTTGGGAGTCAGTAATATTATCACAACCTTGAAGCCAACCTGGTCTAGAAAGTGATTCTAAGGCTAGCTGGAGTGAAATAGTGAGGCTATGTAATTGGCTCAAAAAAATTAAAAAAGAATTTTTAAGCCAAATTACTCTGATTTGTTATCCTCTATATTACAGCCTATTGCCCACACACATTAATTTCTTTGCTTTTTAGAGTTCTCATGTAATTCCACTAATTCATATATATTATATGAATATATCTATTCAAGTAGTTTCATTATTGTAATTTTGTTTGAATAAGCTGTGTTAAGTTCTCCTATTCTTAAAAAAGTCCTCTGGTTCTTTCTTCTTAACGTCCTCAACTCCCTTCCTAATTATTTCCAAATCTATCCTTCCACAGATAGAAAAAAACAAAAACAAGTGTTCAGTGTGAAAACCAGTGTTTGGAAATTCTGGCTATACTGTAAGGTAAGACAAAATGGGACTGGAGAGCTGGCTCAGTAGTTAAGTGCATGTATTGCTCCTACAGAAGGCCAGATGTTCCAATACCCTCTTTCTGGACTCCCTAGGTTCTGCATGTATATGATATACACCCATCCATATAAAATTTTAAACCCATCCATAAAAATTTTAAAAAACAATGTTTTGGGTTTTCTTTTTTTTTTCAAACCAGAGTTTCGCCATGTAATTCTGGCTGTCCTGAAACTCATGAAATAGACCAGACTGACTTCAAACCCAGAGATCTGTTTGCTTCTACTTCTGGAGTGCTAGGACTAAACGAGTATGTGTCATTACATCCTGCTGATATATACAATGAGTGAGAGGGAGAATATAAAATGGGGCTGGAGAGATGGCTCAATGGTTAAGGGCATATGCTGTTCTTGCAGAGGACCCAACAATTGAAGGTTCACTCCATCTGAAACTCTAGCACCTTTGGCACTCTTGGAGAACTTACACACATGTGCACAAACCCACATACTTAAAAATAAAAATAAACATAAAAGCAAACAACATTTAAGAAAGGATAAATTGCCATTTTTTAAGTCCTTTAAAGCCTAATAATCAAAAACAAATTATGCCTTTCCAACAGTCATTTAAAAACTATTTTAGTTTTTCATTATGCATATTGTATGGATCTGTGTATAAATTTGTGCATATAAATATGATGCCCTCTGGAAGTTAGAATAGGTATCATATCCCCTGGAACTGTAATTACAGGTAATTGTTAGCTGTTTGATGTGGGTGCTAGGAATCAAACTCAGATCCTAGGCAAGAACAGCAAATGCTCTTAACCAGAGTCATCTCTCCAGATCCTTCTCCAACAGTTTATAAAATCTTAAAATTTTAGGATTATGGTTTTTCAATATTCCAGATGCACACACACTGGCAATTTCATCAGAAGGATGTCCTCCCACCCCACTGTATTTTCTAGTTGGTATACATATTTAAAAGCTACTGTTTTCTTTATAGATAAGTATAAGATAAGTATATTTTAATATATCAGGAGTCTTTTAATCTTGTTAGTTTAATCAACCTTTTTGTTCTCACGCATTTTAGGCAATTACTAGAAGGCAATTTTTCTTTTCCCTTTTTCCTCCAATATTCTATCATTAAATATTATTATGGCTATTAGTGATATACATTTTTACTATATTTAATACTCCCTTATACTTAAAGAGCTTACCCCCAGCAAATACTTATTCAAATCTATTAAGTAAACAGATTATGCCATTTCTATTAAAATGACAAATTATAGCAAAAACATTTGTTCGAGTATTTCCTTGTATTCTTGAGATGAACTTATTTATGTTTGTGCTATAAAACATTTTAACATTTTTCTATTCGTCCTTTAAAAAGTTCCTACATGAATACAATGTATTTTATCATAATAAGTTCTTTTTTAAAGGATGGGTAGTTTTTGTTGCTATTGTTGTTTATAATAATTTAGTTTTATTTTATATGCGGCTGTCAGATCCCCTTCCCTGGAGTTACAGACAGTTGTGAACTGCCAATTGGGTGCTGGGAATCAAACCTGGGTCCTCTGGAAGAGGAGCCAGTGGTCTTGACTGCTGAGCCATCTCTACAGCCCCCATGATAAAGTTCTTAACAAAGACTAGAATACTGTTTGCTTTCTCTCCTTTAGAAATCTCAAATATAGAAAATTTTAATAGTGTCTTTATTAAATATTACTGTTGGTACATTCTATATAAAAAAGTTCCAGATATCCCATTTCTTGCATGGATACAATGATTAATTCAAAGCTCAATTTTTCCACTTATTAACTTCAAAGACCCTGAATAAATTCACTTTTCTAAGATTCAGCTTTTTAAACTAAACAGAACACACTGAACTATATGAAAGTTTAACTGAAATAATTCAGCCGAAACGACTAGAGCGATGTTTCTTTAGAAGACTAGCTCCAGCATCCAACAAAATCAGTACCAACAATTTAAAAAAAAAAAAAAGGTTTAGAGGGAATCATAGTAAAAAAAAATACACAATATATAATTTAAGTTATAATTTAAGGATTTATTTTCTAACCTGCCAAGGCTTCCTCTTTGAAGAAGATACATTGAATAGAACTCCATATTATACCATACCCACAACAGATCATTGATATTTAGCTTTGGTTTCTATCTCTTAGCATTTCTTTTAATTATAAAGATTAAAAGAATTTTTAATATACTAGCATAATAATCCTTTTCTTTTTACTTTTCTTTCACATATGAAATCTTTGCTTATTGCTAACTAGAGAACAATGTTTTAAAGTTTCTGAGAAATACTGATTCTATGCTTAACTAAACTACATAAAACAACTTTAAAAAAATTCAACATCCACCCACCTCTTGATAATCACATTTCTTAACTGAGTAGGATAAATATGTACCCTTACTAGAAAGTTCCAGGCTACTAACCCCATTCTTTTAGCATGCCATATCTTCAAGATAATATTTCCTGAGGAATATAGAAAATAAAAGTATGAAACAGAAAGTTGGGAAACTGTTATATAATAGTTTAAGGAACATTGTAACTAATGGTTTTATAAATACTTAACAAGAATTTACCACTAATATGCCCGAGCCTGGTTCTTCAACATAATACTTTGATAGTGTTATTTTATATATTTAGGGCTTTCTAACGTATTTAAAATTATGCTCTGTGAATTAAATGATCTCATAGTTTTTATTTTCTTTATATCTGAAGTAATTTTCTCTATCAAAGTCTCCATTCACTGAATTTCTTTTCACATTCATAAGTTACAAAATTTACATGGTGCATATGTATAAATAATCCCAAAATGAAATCTTGGAATTATTCATAAAGTTCTACATTTTCTGTATTGTAGCTCACCAAGTATTTTTCAGTCCCTGGTTTTATTTTGCTGCTCCACTTTGTCACCTGCATGCTCACTTCATTGTTTTCATTCTTACTTATACAATATAGCTGTTGACATGCTTAACAACTGGGATCTTAACTGCACTGTCAGGTGATTCTCTCATTGTATACATATCAGAGGGTGTACTTAAACAAATCTACTTTGCAAAGGTCAATCACTTGATGTGGCTTTTATGTACAATCAAAAGAGGCAGTTATATTAGGCTGCAGCCAGTAACATGGCATACTGCTTTTACAATACTTATCTTTTTAAGTACAAGTACACATGAGAATAGCAAGTACAATACACTAAATAAATAAACCAGTAGTGGTTTATTAGCATTAGTGAGTATTGTGTACTTAATGATTGTGGTAGTTTGAACATAACTGGCCCCTATAAGCTCATAGAGAGTGGCACTATTAGAAGGTGTGGTCTGTTGGCAGAAGTGGGGTTAGGCCTTGAGGTCTCCTGTGCTCAAGTTATACTTAGTTCAGTTCACGTCCATCTGTCAGCTCCTGCTGTCTGCGGATCAAAGATGTAGAATTCTCAACTCCTTCTCAGCACTATGTCTGCCTGCATGCTGCCATGTCTCCTCATGATGATAATGTCCTGAAACTCTGACTTGCAAGCCACCCAATTAAAGGTTTTCCTTTACAAGAGTTGTTGTGATCATGGTGTCTCTTCACAGCAACAGAAACCCTGACTATCATAATGATTGTATGTTCTATGCTTACAAATGACTAACACAGTAGAGTGGGCATCCCAAACTGTAAGCCATCTGTGCAATATCATGTTAAAAATAACTCTGATAGCATTGGTTGGTAGCAATTTTCAGCTTCATTGGATCACTACTGTCCATACAATTTGACCAAAGGTCAGTAAACAGCACACGACTGCATTGAAGGCCATGATTTTCTCCTAAGAAAATATTTAAACCATGACATTTTTATGTTTGATGTACATAATTTGATTTGTGTATGTATGTCTCAGCAGGCATGCCCATGTGTAGTGGCAGATATTTGGAGAGGATAGCTTTCAGAAATTAGTTCTCTCCTTCCAACATATTGGTCCTCTGGTTCAAACTCAGGTCACTAGGCTCTATGGCAAGTGTCTTTACCCATTGAACCACCTCCCCAGGTGAATACGTATTTCACCTTCATTTTTGTATTCTAACTTTGTTCTATTTTATTTGAATATATTCTACTTAATTCTTTGGTAATTCTCACTTTTGGTGTATCCTAATATTTAACTAATGCTTATAAAAGTTTATATTAGCACTGAAAAGTATACTTGGAGCAACACTTCCTCTTGATTCTAGTTCACTTGTCTGTCATACCAAAAAGGAAAGATAAAAGCTTGATGTGTTCCTGGTAAACTCTGTACCTGCTTTGGTTTGTATGTCCCTTAAATTTCATGTGTTAAAAAAATTAACCCCAAAGTCCAGTGTTAATGGAATTTGATAAATTCTGTGGGGTGGGAAAGTCAGTAGGACTCATTAAATGAGTTACTGCAGGGCCATCTCTATTATAAAAACTAGCCTCTGTTTAGCTTTGTCTGTCTCCCCCTGTGTCGTCTTTGGGCTTTGCAGAGTTTGCTATTAATAAAAGGACCTTGCCATCCATAGCTTCTCAATCCTGAACTGCCTTGAGAATCATAAGCTGAACTTCTACTCAGCATGTATTATCTAGCCTATAGCATTCGGGTAGTAACAAAAGAAAATAGAGTGACACACCCCTTTATCTTAATCATTTCCTTAAAAGTTCCATGTCTGGACACGGGTGACACATATGCTTCAATTTTATGAGGCAACTGGCTGCCCTGGAATTGAAGCAGCGCTAGTTCTAACTAGGGTACTTTTGACTATAGTGGGCATGTTATCCCCAGAGAAAAGAGGCTCTAACATACCTTTTTGTTTCTATTCTGTGCTCTATAGCAGCAGAAGAAAAAATAATCTGATTTAATCTCTGGAAAGAATAATATTAAAGTTTGGGGGAGCCTTTTTTTTTTTTGAGGGGAGAATTAAGAGGTAGCTAAACTCTAACCCTGCAATGTACTTCTCCAAAGGCAGAATATCCATTCTTCAGACCTTCTCCTTTAATTAAAGTATTTTTTTTCAGGATGATATCTTTCAAATTTTTAATATGAAGTTGGAAATCCTTCTCTGGTTAGTGTCTGTTGCTTTATATTTATTTTGTTTTAGTTAAAAAAGAGAAATGTTGTAAATTCTTGTCTCCTTTAAAATTCTCTACCAAACACACTATTCACCCTATTCTCACTGACACTTTCATGCACATCTAAGTTCTAAATTTATACTGTTATAAAGAAAACCAAACTTTTTAAAAATAAAAGAATTTAAAACTTGGCGAGATACTTTATACCTGTAATTTCAGCACTAAAGAGACTAAGGCAAGAGAACTTCTAAGAGTTCAAGGTCGGCCTGAGCTACATAGTAAGCTCAAAGCCAGCCTGCACTAGAATGTGATATCCCTTCTTCATAGGAAAAGAAAAAGACAAAATAAAACAATATACTCTTAAAAAGCAATATAAATAGAAAGTTGACTAATGTGTATGAGGTAACTGCTTGTGAGTTATATCCTGACAGCCTACAAAAAATGACATACATTGATATGTATACACATATATTCTGGTATGCACACAGACACAGTTAAACTTACCATGTGTACACAGAATGAAGTATTTATTCTCCTACCTCACATTACTCTTCTTTCTCAGTCCTATGAGGGACTAAGTTCTGTGATATAATCCATCTCTTCATCACAAAAACACCATAACAAAGACAGGAACAAACAAAAACATCTTTAAAATCCTTAGTTTCACCGGAACCAGTATCAGAGGGCCCACACTCTAATTTGACCTCCTTTTAGTAGTCACTAGACTTCAAGAGAACCATGCTGCTCGCCTGAAGAGACAAGCTTGAAATGAGTTCAATACTCTGTGGAGCATGACGTCATCCATGCCCAAAACTGTCACCAGCTGCTTACCTTATTAGCTCTAGCTGTGCGAGTTCCTGATTTGCTTGAAATATAGGCTTTTTAGTGAAGAGTTCACCAAGGATACATCTAGTAGAGAAAAGTAGAGCTGTCATTAAATTTTCTCATCTGAACTCACTATAAAACTTTTTAGTACCATAAGTCAATACGCCTATCTTACCCACAGCTCCATACATCAATAGCTGGTGTATATCGTTCTTCTCCCAAGAGCAGTTCAGGTGGACGGTACCACAAAGTAATGACCTTGTTAGTATATGGGCGACTAAAAAGCAAAACAAAAACACAGATAGCACTTTTTAATGTTAGCATTTGTAGTAAGAGATTCTCTTAAGAAATACTATTTTTGGATAATCAAAGCAATCATACAATTAGAATTAAAATTAAGGTATTTAATACACAACCAAACATATGGACAGCTAGCAGAAATTCCCTCAACACGAGAATATAAAAATAAGCAGTTAGCTATTAACTGTAATTTGGTCAAAAAGAAGTCACTCATCAACTCAATTGCTGAGCAATTATTTTCCTTTTCATAAAAGCTCTTTAAATGATTAATTCATAAAGGAATGGTTCACAAACCTAGCATAGGACTAACAGAACAAAATGTAGTCCAAATTCAAGTTCAGATTACCTAACAAAAGACTGCTTTTGTTTTGGGTCTGAGGATTGAATCCAGGACTTCTCAAGTGCTAGGCAAGTGATCTACCCAAGTCCCTAACAGAAGTATGTTCTTTATTTGTTGATGAGATAGGGGCTCACTGTACAGACAAAGCTGACCTTGAACTCACAGATCTCTTGCCTCCTCTGTGTTGTAGGATTCAATGCGGGCACCACCACAATTGGCCCCTAGCAAAAGTTTTTAACTAGATATATCATGGAAAGTATTTAACACATTTGGATGTACTCTGGTTTGTGAAAATAAAGTAGATACTGACTACAAAATATTGATTAATTGTGGTCTGGTCTATACAGAACCACAAGCTACAACTATGGTGCTTCCATCAGAAAACTACAAAGAGAATGTATGTATGTATGTATGTATGTATGTGTGTGTGTGTATATATATATGTATACACACACATACACACATTGAGATAATTAAATCTAGCTAAGTTATACAAATGCAGCAGCAAAGCATTTCTAAACATCAGACAATAGTCACATTCTACATGATTTACATAAATGAAGATGATCCTAAAAAATCAGAACCTACAGTTAAAATAAAGACATCAAAATAACTAACTACCTCTTTAAAGGAGTCACAAACCTTATTCCAAATAACAAGGACTACACAGACAGACAGTGAGTTCCCTAGGATGATTCACTGTATTCCGTGCCTGTCTATTTCCCTGAGATGGGTTGGATCAGATTCATTTGGAACAAAGAAAAACGTGCACACAACTTAATTCAGCAACAATTTCTTTTGGCAACTATGGGCCTTAAATTTCTGAAAGCCTAAGACCTATCTGAATGCCTCTGCCACAACTTGGCAAAATTTCTCTTAAGTAATCTGTGCACTAATACTGTAAGTTATCAATTTGGGCATCACAATGTTCCCAAAGCCAAAAACAAAAACAAAAACAAAACAAAACAAAACAAAAACCCTGCTAAAATTGACATTTCAAATTGAAAATTAACAAGAGTCTAAGATTTTTTGGTTTGGTTTAGTTTTATTTTCCGGCAAAGTCTCACTATCCAGCCCTAGCTGCTCTGGGATTTGCTTTGTAGGCAAGATGCCATGAGTTTCCAGTAACTTTCCTACCTCTGACCCCAAGAGCTGGAAGTCAGGCATACACCACCACATCTTGCTAAAATGTCTACGAAGCAAATGAAAATTGACTATACTTTCCTTAGTAACTTTTCTTTGCTTATTTTCTAGCACCAATAATCTTCATATAATATAAAGTATTTTAAATCCTAGCTGATCTAATAAAGTTAGACTTAATCATTCTTATTTAAGCATAATTCCTTTTAATTTGAAATTCTTTCCCCATTTTCTTACTGACCATTAATTCTTTGATGCACAGCAAAAGATCTAAGAGCATAAGGTCTAAACTCTACTCTGAATAGTTATCTAGACATGATTCTACTGTCTTAAATGCCCTGTATTTTCTATATTCACTCAAGAGTGTAAAAACTCATTCACAAACACAAAGCCCAGGAAAATATGGGGCACAATAGAGCATAAGGTGACATGTGAATGAGCTGGCTAAGGGAGAAAAAAGCTTGGAAACATACGAGGACTAGTTTTTACATTGTTTCAAGGGTCTATACAACTTGAAGCCTATGCTGCTAAGATTGAAACTAGGCTAACTACTCTCAAGGAAATACTCAACATAAATCTCCAATATTTTAAGTTTAAAAAATGAATGCTTAGAGAAACTATAACATTCTAGCAATATTTTATTTAAACAAAGTACTCAAAATAAAAAATTAGTATACATGCCATATATCAAATTCCATGCAATTTATTACATAGTCACTTTTAGGTTTAAGTTTAGCTAACTGTCTTTATTAAATTTAGAATAGTAATTTTCAAAATGATTAAACGCAACTACACAAAGTACAGTTCTAAGTGTATTACAAAGTATTTAATGTACAGTTAATTGTTTTCTAGTATTTCTAAAATGTTAGTTTTTATCAAATACCCTCTGCTCATTTAGTAACACATTTCAATGCTTTACTTCTATACAATTTTAAGAATTTCAGAGTTGGGAGAGTGGTGTTCAGGGGAATAGATTCAGCTGTGATGTTCCCTATTTTAAAAGTTTGAAAAGATCATTCTATGAAATTCAAAAACATTCACGTAAAAGGACACACCTAAGCAAGATTAAATGCTTAATTTCTCTAACAATATATAATAAAATCTCTAGTGATTTCTAACTTGTATTTTTGAGACAAGAAGGAAAGCCTACAGGTAACTACTCAGGAGAAATCTGGATCATTCTGTCAATACCTACCTAGCTGCTGCAGGGAGATGACTCAGGGTTTTGTTTGTTTGTTTGTTTGTTTTTTGTTTTTTTGTTTTTGCTGTTGTAGGTGAGGAATGGACATGGCCTCCCCACGTAGCTCTCAAACTTAAAACTTCCTGTCTTAGCCTCCTAGGTGCCAAGGTAACAGACAGTATGCCATCATAGCTAGACAGGAACCATTAACAAACTCATCTTAAATACATTTTTTTAAAACGATTTCAGCAGTTATAACCTAAGTCTGACTCACGACTACTATGTGAACAGCAGAGTCATGGGTTTCCTCAGCTCTAAAATACTCTTGCTACCTATCATCTTTTTAAAAACATTTTGCTTTAAAAACATAAAACCAGGTCATATCCCACTGCAAATAAATAAAATTTATCTATTCCTGTTGCCCCACAGAACTTCAGACTCTTCCACACCAGGGTGTTTCCTAGGAGCTGAGCTCCTCTTACTGGAATATTCTTTGTGTGGGTCTTCATTAAATTTTCTTTCTTCATCCTCAGATCTTAGTTCCAATTTACTTCTTAAAGACAGCTATGCTAACTGTCCTATCAAAAATTCCTTCAGATACTGTCACATGGCCAGACTCCTATAGTCATCATTTTATTTGAGCTGCAGCACTGTTTAAATCCTTAATTTCTCTGAATACCATGTAAAAGAGACAGGGATTTAGTCTGTCTTCTACAGTTCTAATGCCTAGTTCTTGGATACTTATTCTATCACATTCTGTCTAAGTAAGAACCTGCACATACTTTTAACTGACTGGCACGTTGTAACTACTTAACAGTAAGTACAAACTTTTTTCTCATGCCCTTTCTTTTCTTTACCTTCATACTTCATGACACTTTCACATTCCTTTTTGCCTTGTAAGAAAATAATTTCAATTCCTGTAACATGCTATACACTGAAAAATAAAACTCATTTTTCCGAATAGAGGCTGTCTTCATACTAAGACCACTTTTCTACTTTGAAATGTTCAAGTTTTGAAGTTATCTAGAAGAACCTACATCATAGCTTTCAAAAGTGAGTTTGCTACCTTCTGCTGAAAATTGCTTTACTCTTCCTGTCTCCACAAACAGCAGCCATCCTCTAGGATGTGTTCCTTTCTTCTAGAGCACGTGCCCTGGTCTAGACACTACACTTCAAATCCTCACTGCAATGAGCTGTGGCCATATAACCAAGTGCATGCCACTGGAGCAGGAATGCACATGCTAAGAGCTTTTCTAACTATGTATCTCGATACCACCCCCTTCTTTTCGTATTTCTGGTAACAGCTTTAGCAGGTATGTGTAAAAGATGGCAAATCTTCCAACCAGGTTTTCTGGGTGACTATATGAAACAGTCACCATTTGAACTGATGCTATGGTTAAGTATTAGTGGTGCAATGAGGTAAGCAACAACCAGTTAACATTATTAAGTGAGAAATTATGACATTTTGAGCCATTACTAAATTTTTACAATAGCTTTGCCTCTCCTAAATGTAAATGTATTCAGCTATTTAAACAGAAACCTTATAGCTAGGAGTGGAGACAGATTTTTCACAGCAGGTAATGGATTCTAACTATTCTCCAGTAGAGACCCTTATGACATAATTCACCTCTTTCTAAAACATAGTCCACTGCCTAGTTCTAGCCATAATAATTTTTATCAAAATTTAGTGCAACAGCTTTGCAATCAATTGATTCCAGATTCTCAAAGATAATTCATTTTCCAAAACACAGTCAAAACGATAGTCTTAAAACATAATGTTATGGCACATTGCTTCTAGGGTCCTCTGTCCAGTGCACAAGGTAAAAAAAAAAATCCTTTATTACTAGGAGTTCTTGCTCCAACCACACTGAATCTTTGTTCTCTGAAATGGCTGAGCAAATGTACATTTTTTAGAGTAGGGAGATAGAAGACAAATTGGAAAAAAAAAGCAAAACCACAAAAAAACAAAACAAAGAAAGAAAAAACTTTGAAGAAGTGAATATTGCTTTAATGCTTTAAACTCCTTTAACATTCCTGAAATCCCAGAAGTCAACAGGCTAGAAACAGGAGGACTTTCAGTTTAAGGCCAGTCTGGGATACAGTAAAAACGTAGGTTGGTGTTCTAGTTCTATCCAGGACCCCTGCCATACCCCATTTTTCATTTTACTATTAAGTGGGGGGGGGGGAAGCACACACTGAGAAAATATGCAGACAGAACGACTTTAATCATAAAAGCAAATTCCAACTTAGGGAGAGTTAGGAGACCACTGAAGCCAATCTCACAAACCACATCACTCAATAGTTTATATAGTACTAC